GCTGCGGCTGCAGGGCTGCGGCTGCCGGGCTGCGGCTGCGGGGCTGGGGCTGCGGCTGCGGGGCTGGGGCTGCAGGGTGCAGCTGCGGCTGCGGGGCTGGGGCTGCAGCAGTGGGGCTGCGGCTGCAGGGCTGCGGCTGCAGCTGTGGGGCTGTGGGTGCGGTGCTGTGGCTGTGGTGCTGCAGCTGCAGGGTGCAGCTTTGGCTGCAGTGCTGTGTCTGCAGTGCTGCAGCTGCGGAGCTGTGGCTGCAGGGCTGCGGCTGCGGCTGCAGGGCCGCGGCTGCAGGGCTGCGGCTGCAGGGTGCAGCTGTGGCTGTGGTGCTGCTGCTGCAGGTGCAGGGCTGTGGGGTCGTGGCTCCAGCTGTGGCTGCGGTGCTGCAGCTGCGGTGCTGTAGCTGCAGTGTGCAGCTGCGGCTGTGGTGCTGTGGCTGCAGGGTGCATCGGCTGCGGTGCTGCGGCTGCAGTGCTGTAGCTGCAGGGTGCAGCTGCGGCTGTGGTGCTGCGGCTGCAGGGTGCAGCTGTGGCTGCAGTGCTGTAGCTGCAGGGTGCATCGGCTGCGGTGCATCGGCTGCGGTGCTGTAGCTGCAGGGTGCTGTGGCTGCAGGGTGCTGCAGCTGCGGTGCTGTGGCTGCGGTGCTGCAGCTGCAGGGTGCTGCGGCTGCAGTGCTGTGGCTGCAGGGTGCAGCTGCGGCTGCGGTGCTGCGGCTGCGGCTCCTCGGCACCGCGCAGCCCCCGCGGCCCCTCCGTGCCCGTCCTGCCGCTGCCCGCAGCGGGGGCGCCCCGGGGTCCCGCTGCTCACGGCCGCTGTCCCGCCAGGTTCGCGCTGGCCTCCCACTTCTTCTGGGGGCTCTGGTCCATCCTGCAGGCCAAGATCTCCACCATCAAGTTCGGGTACCTGGTGCGTGGCGCGGGGCCGCGCGCCCCGCCGGGCTGCAGTGCAGCGGCCCTGCTGGCACCCGCGTGGCACCGCCGCGTTGGCACGGGCGCAGCGAGCGGGCAGGGCTGGGCGGCGCGAGCACGCGGGGGACAGGGACGGGACGGGATGGGACGGGATGGGCTGGGACGGGATGGGACAGGATGGGATGGTATGGGGTAGGATGGGGTAGGATGGGACGGAATGGGATCGGATGGGATGGGCTGGAACGGGACAGGACAGGACGAGATGGGACAGGCTGGCATGGGACGGCACAGGATGGGATGAGATGGGACAGGATGGCACAGAATGGGATGGGATGGCACAGGAAGGGATGGGATGGAACGGGCTGGAATGGGACGGGACGGGATGGGACGGGATGGCACAGGACAGGATGGGACGGGACAGGTTAGGATGGGACAGGGATGGGACAGGCTGGAACGGGATGGCACAGGATGGGACGGGATGGCACAGGATGGGATGGGACAGGCTGGGACGGGATGGCACAGGTTGGAATGGGACAGGATGGCACAGGCTGGGACGGGATGGCACGGGACGGGATGGGAGCCGCGGGCTGCGCGGCCGCTCTCCCCGCAGGACTACGCGCAGAGCCGCTTCGACGCCTACTTCCAGCTGAAGGCGCGGTGCCCGTGAGCCGCGGGCGGCCCCGCCGGTGCCC